CCCCCCCCGGGATCCTGGCCAGCGGTGGAGTACCCTACTGCGCGTCTGGGTGCTGTTAGTAAGCCTCCGGGCCAATAGGGTAGCCCACTGGGGGGAGGGCAATTGTTGGCGTGGGGAGTGCGGTGCAGCCCCCCTTTTCTTAGGCGACTAGTGCCACAAGGGTTAGGCTGACCCTCTTTTTCTGTATTTTCCTCCCATTGTTCTTGTACAAACACGCTTGTCGGGGATACTGTTGCCCCCCCAGAATAGAAGGGGCCTGTGTTTTCAAAAGAAAAAAAGAGAAAAAACTAAAAAAAGAGAGACAAAACTGTACAAAATGCTACCCTCAGTACCCTGTACTTTTTTCCTCTAGTGCTCAAAACCAGTGTGCTTTTCTCCTCCGCTTACCTCTGGATGCTCGAAAACCATCATGGTGTAGTAGCTGCAAAGGAGGTCGAAAATGACCTCCAGCATTTTATGCAAGCACTGACGAAAAAGCATCTCCGGGAGCTGCAGACAAAGGTCATTGTAGGGTAACCTGCCAAAAAAGGAATATTGCATGCGCAGATAACAACAGCACGAGAAACTCATGGTAAGCGAAAATGTCACTCACTGTAGGGTGGCCTTCCGAAAAAGAAAAATTTGGAAGTGTCAAGAAACACAGCGACAGAAATTTGAATTTCAAAGTAAGAGAAGCCCCAGTTCATTGCTTGTCCCTCTCCTTCTCCTTTTGCAACCCCCTCCCCGAAAAAGGAAAATTTGGCAAGTGTTGAGAAAAACAGCGACAGAAATTCGAATTTCAAAGTAATAGAAGCCCCAGACACAATGTTCATTGCTTGCCCCTCTCCTTCTCGTTTTGTACCCCCCTCCCCCCCAAACACTGCCGAAAGAGCATCTCCGGGAGCTGTGGTGACATAGGTCATTGTATGCTGACCTGGCCAAGAACAAGAAATTGTATGCGTGGAGCAATGACATAAAGTCCATCTCCATCTCCATTCCCCCTCTCCCTCCTCCCCCCCCTCCCCCTGCACATCTGCCCCCACGCCCCATTTTCCCAAACACGGATCATCAGCCACATCATACTGAAAGAACAACCAACTCCAGTGCAGTCCCTGGTTAATCTGCTGTTCCGGTTGGATGATTGGGTGGCCCTGCCCTTCCGCCATCTGTTGCCATTTTGGGCTGTCCTGTAGGAACGTTTTTCTCATTTCAAGGTGAGAGTTTTCAAGACATAAAGGATCTCAGAATGTATAGAAGTATGGCGGAAATGCAATAGAATTGAAATGAATATTTGATCGCCCCCTTTTCTGCTCCCTCCCCCCTTGCTGGCTCTGCCCCTGGAGTTTTCATCTAAAGCAGCCACCCTTCTTCCCCTTTCCCCTTCCCCCCTACTCGCTGTGTGATGGTAAGCGGCTGACGATCGCGGAAGTGCCCGTGACTAATCGCTCTCGTTCTGCCGCTGGCTGTTCCAATTGTTATCGGCGATCAGTCACCAGACTCACCACGATTTCCCATTCACCAGCATCAAATTTTGTGTGTACAGACTAGAGCTGCGAGCTGATAACAAATGAACAAATGCAACCAGGGGGGGTTCAAACCTTTTTTCCCTTTGTGTTTTTTCTTTTTGAGCGGTGTCGCCGACCATTTTGGGCCGGTAGGCCAAGCCCTGAAAGGACACTCTGGGACAACGACCCGTCTCAGAACCAAATGGCACTCTCAGACTGGGGAAAGTACCGGTGATTCAAAGGCATTCATCGAGATGGGGAGTGGCACCTGTCGCATGCAGAAAGAAAGAAACAAACTGTGCAAAGAACTTGAACCGCCAGTACCTCCGCCCCTCTCTTTCCTGTCCCGATGGCTCCTCCTGCTGATCTTTTTTTTTTTTTTTTTTTT